GCGTTACATTAATCTAGAGTGAACAATTGCGTTACATTAATTTAGAATGAACAATTGCGTTACATTAATTTAGAATGAACAATTGCGTTACATTAATTTAGAATGAACAATGGCGTTATATTAATTTCGAATGAACAATTGCGTTACTTTAATTTAGAATGAACGATTGCATCGCCTCAACTTAGATTGGACAATCGCATTACATTATTTTAGAATGGATAATTGCATTATGTTATTTTAGACAGCACGGTTTGTGTAAATATAGATACAAAGTGAAACAGTTGTCTTCAGACAATACGGGCGGATTATATATTGCTTATTGCAAATTACTAGATTATTCAGAAATATTAAAATGCATGGCTACTTAAAATACCATTCGAAAGATTTTATTTTTAATATGAGAAACAGGTCCAATTCACTAAGAATAATACTTGAACTGTACTTAAATAGCCAGTTTGTTTTATTTGTACCAAATTCGAATTAAATTGTATCAGTTTTCTTTATCGTTTAGGTTGTTTAGAGAGTGTAATTTCGTTTTTCAAGGGAAAACGATAGTCGACTTTTTAACGTTCAGAGTTAATGTTATTCGATGATGAACAGATTTAATAGATTTTACGTAAATGACGAAATCACTTTGCAAACAATTTAACGGAAACACTGCGATGTGGAACCGTTCAGCAACGACACACTAAACAACCCCTTTACCAAACCAGAGTGCCTGCAAGAAGGGGTTGCACGAGAAGTCGTTACTTTTAATGGAAGTCAGTCCTCCCTTGACAGCCGTCAAGAACAGAGATGTACAGTGTGCCTTCATTTTTACTTGGCTCGCTGGAATATTTCAGAACGGAACATTTAAGTGATACGTACTCGTTTTATTATTCACAATTTTGCAATATAGCAAATTCTTCCTAATTGACGGTCAGATTGCGCACAAAAGTGTCAATTTGGGAAGAGGAGATACGATTATTCGAATCTTACTGATTATCAACAAGACTCGTATCTCCTCTTCCCAAATTGTTTTTTCTTTTTTTATACAATCTGAGCATCAATTAGGGAGAATGTACTGTACCTACTTTTAATAAAAGTGTTTTTAATAGAAAATTATGATTTAAAAAGAAATAGGTCTCGTATTAGGTACCTTTATCCTATTTCGTTATTTCAGAAATATTTTTGGATTAAAAGTCAATGCCTTACAAATGAATCCCGGTGACTGATACACGCTGATTTTTATGTAACTGATTGAAACTAATATAATTGAAGCTATTAGATGAAAGTAATAATTTAGTTGTATTTCATCAAAGCTTATTTTTCTTTAACCCCTTAACGCGCAGAAACGTATTAACACGGGCGTGCAAAACCGGCCAAAATGTGCAGACCCGTATATATACGGTCGGCGTCGCAACTTATGTCGCTAAAATGTTCAGATTCGAATATATCCGGGCAGTAAAAATAACTTAATAAAAACCAAGGAAAACATTCAATTTATTGATATTCATCGTGTAATTCTGTATTGTAAGCTGTAAAGTTTGTTTATTTGGGATTATAAAATATGGCCTTTTAGGGTGACACTTA